GAGGAGAGGAGAGGAGAGGAGAGGAGAGGAGAGGAGAGGAGAGGAGAGGAGAGGAGAGGAGAGGAGAGGAGAGAGTCCTGACTTTTGGCTCTGACTTTGGTGGAATGTAACTAGGTGACTGTCACTTAGTCTAACCTAATGCCAGACCTCAAAGGGGGCCCAAAACTAAACCTTAGAGGCAGAGAAGAAATGGAGTCAAAATATTTGGTGAGTCAGTTGTCTGGAATGGAAGGGATGGAGGAGGTGAGACTCTCCTCTCCACAGAGTGTCTGTAGCAGAAGTCTCTGGCCAGCCTGACACATCCTTGACCTCAGAAGGATGAGAAAGAGGAAAAGGGGGGATGGTTCACTTCAAGGTCACCAAGAAGGTCCCCAAACTCCTTCCTACTGGCAGTGGCCTCATGGCCATAGTCAGTACTAGTATTAAGAAAGGAGAGAGGCGGGGCTGGAGAGACAGTTCAGGGGGACTGGCTACCGGCTGCTCTTGCAGAAGACCTGGGTTCATTTCCCAGCACTGATATGGCAGCTCACAACCATCCATAACTCCATTTTCAGGGCACTTGACATCCTCTTCTGGCTGCCATGGACACTAGGCATGCAGATGGTACACAGACATACATGCAGGCAAAGCTCCTATGCACATAAACATTTTAAAGATAATGACTAGGAGGCCGGAAGTCGCCCTTGCAGTTGGTCTGAAGACACACTCGTCAGCTGCGAATGTGGCTACAAAGTACTGTGGACAGTGTGCTTTAAATGGCAGGACATTACTGCTTTTCATAGTTCTGGAAGCTGAAAGTATGAGCCCAAGAGGTCAGGAGGTTGTTTCTTCTGAGGCCTCCTTGCTGTAAATGGCTGTCTTTATACCCTCTCCCCTCTGTAGGCCTGGCTCCCAAACTTTTCTTAGAACATCGGTCATATTGGATCAGATCCAACTCCAATGACCTCCCTTCATCTTAATCCCCTCTTTAAAGACTGTCTCCAAGTGCAGTCATCTCCTGAGGTATACGCACGCCAATAGGACACAGTTCAGCTCCACAGAAAGAGTCCCGTAACTTCGACAACATGAAGCAACAGGAGAGAAGACACAAGCAATTGGACGTGCAGAATGTTGCAAAGGCCGGGTGTGGGGAGCATGGTAAGGAGACTGCCTTGGCTTGGTCATTCCTGGCCAAAACCTTACAAAGCCCTTCGCTCCAGCAGAACAGAGAGAACTCCTGGAACACGCCGGCCCTAAAACACGCACATTTATAAAATGAAAGCTACTCACTGGTCCCAAGCACTTGGCCCTTTGTCCCACATGGTAGAAACGGGCATCAGCAGCCGGGCATGGTCTGACCTCTAGGAAGAACTTCCAGGAAGCAGGTCCTGGTGTTTCCTCAGAAGTGATAATAAGTCACCACTGTGCTCACTTCGATAGCACATACGCTAGAATTGGAACGATACAGAGAAGATTTGCGTGGCCCCTGTGCAAAGATGACATGCAAATTCCTGAAGCATGACATATTTTTCTAGAAAAAAACATCCTGATTGAGGTAACTGTCAGGGATCACCCTCGACAAACATACCTCTTGCAAGGGTGGAGGCTGGGGATCAGAAAAGTAAGTAAATAATACAAGGACATGAATAAAATAATAAAATAGAAATACAGGAAAGTACCGGGAGGGAGTTCCAGTGAATGCTGAAATCACCTGTGTTTAATTTCCAACTGTTTAAAATGCCCCTTACGCCAAAAAGTAGGAGTGAGATAAAAAAAATTCTGCATTAACATATACAAGGAAATGAACATACCACCAATTGAAGACTGAGGGTTCTATTCTTAAGTAAACATTTTGTTGCTAGAACAAGACAAGTAACACTCACACCCTAGCCCAAAACATTCCGTAGGCAAACCACTCCCTGGGTGGAATCCATAGTTAACCCCTTAAAGGAGTAGGAACTTAGTTGGATCCTTAGACTTTTGTTTGGAGTAGAAACAGATCTACTTCTCTGTTTCTGAAATACAAGGCCTGGATATTCTTGTTGACACCTTCTGTCAATAACCTTGAGACTGCAGAACTCTCTGACCTAAATCTAGGTGGGACCTCTGTTTGAGGTAGAAACAAACAATAAACTTGAAGGAACAGAGGTAGATTTCAACTCTCTGACCTTTGGCCAAGGTGGAAATAGGCTCACAATTTTGGGGGCCTCCACAGGTAACTCAAACTCAGGAAGACAAATACAGTATGTATTCATTCATCAGTAGATATTACATGCTAAACAAAGGATAACCAGACTACAATCCATAGCTCCAGAGAACCTGGAACCTTCAACCCATAACAGAGGGAACCAGATGAAGAGATCCACAACCAAGCATCAGGCCCAGCTCCAGGAACCCAGCTGAAGAGAGGGAGGAGGTAATAAATGAGCAAGGAAGGTCAAGATCATAATGGAGAAATCTACAGAGACAGTTGAACAAGCTCGGGGAAACTCATGGACTCTAGACCAACAGTTGTGGAGCCTGCAAGGGATCAAACTAGGCCCTCCATATATGGAAGACAATGGTAAAGCTTGGACTATGTGAGGGGCCCCTGGCAGTAGGACCAGGATCTATCCCTGGTTCATGAGCTAGCTTGTTGAAGCCCATTCCCTATGGTGGGATGTCATGCTCAGCCTTAATGCAGGGGGAAGGGGCTTGGTCCTGCCCTGACTTAATGTGCCAGACTTTGTTGACTCTCTGTGAGGAGTGGGAGGGAGAACTGTGGTTGGAATGTAAAATAAAGAAAAAAAATATAAGTCACCATGTATTTATTTGGGAGTTGTGTGATGGGCTCCCAAAGAGCAGAAAGAAAAAAAAAAACAAACCAAAAACTACAGATTTGAGCCGGGACCTGACCATTTGAATCTCAGAAGCACTACTATTTACCATCAGCAAGGGATCTACTTGGGCCATTTCCTGGTCTCTGTCTAGACCTTCATAATAATAGTATTTGACCTTCTTCTTTCATGGGTTTTTATAAGAGGCAAATAGAACAGAGGTGAAGGAACTTGTAAATGATCGCGAATTGTGTGCCTTGCAGGGGACATTACTTGGTCATTGGTTGTGACATTTTTATCTTTCCTTCCAGTGGCAGTGTGACATATGGACACTTTCTAGTCATTCATCGGCTCTGGACTGTGTGTGGACTTGATCCTTTCTCAGTCCCAAGAACTGAGAATTTGACCCCCAGATCTGGCCAAGGACCTACTTGTCAGCCCCCAGGATTCTTCTACCCGAGACTGTTCTGCTTCAGACATCTGTTTAGTCTCATGGGTGCACCATCTTGTCCTGCGATGCTTGCAAGAAACTACCCTTTCTGGTGCTCTGTCCCACACGTGGAGATTTGGGAGGCAGACATGCAACCCAGAAATGGCTTCTTAGCGGCTTATGCATTTCTGTTTCCAGTGAGGATGTTTTACCCTTTGATCCCACCAAACCACCATTCCCCCTGGCTCATTTGGGCCTTAAGAGACAGTGTGATGCAGAGTAAACTTCCATGAGCTTCCTGGCCTCCAATTCCTGAAGCACAAATATGTCCTACAGCCTTGATTCTAGTTGTGGCCACAGAGGTGTCCTGACGCCCACTTTGCTAAGTGATAGTTGCCCACTGTAGATCAGTTCTGCCAAGTTCTGGGGTTATTTATTTCTGAAGAGTTGCCCTAAAAGTCACTCTTTCAGACCATCTAGACACATTGCAAGCAGCCAATGTCTTTTTCACAACCATCTTTGTTCTAAATATCTAAAATATCATCTATATTAGACACGTACTTGACAGAGGGATGGACACCAGAAGCCAGCCTGGACAGAAGAGAGCCAGAAGACAGAGCACCGTTCTAGAGCTTGGGAAAAGGAGTCCATCTCTGATGGACTTGGAAGGAGGCCAGGGCAGCTGTGGGTCCTGTCACCTTTGCAAGGAAGCTGAGAAGACAACAACAAACCAACCATGAGAAGGGCCAAGACATCCAAGAAGGTAGATAGATGGCTGCGCTGTTCGGGGTGTTCAGTGTTGCTAGGCCTGCTTAGCCTTATTCCCCAGGGAAAGGTGAGTGCGCTATCTGTCCCTTCCACATCCCCACAACCCAGGACAATCAGATGCCATAGGGAGACAAGTCAAAGCAGGAACTCAGTTTATTACCATGAGCATCAACTTATAGAAGCTAAGTGACATCATGTAATGTGGGGGTACCTCCAGCCAATGAGAGACAGCCAAGCCCTCCCTCTGGCTGGAGGGGCATATACCTAGATTTTGCTGTCTCATCCTCACTTGGTAGCTTTGAGACTATCCTTCAAACTCAAGTCAGGCTTTTCTCTATCCTACAGGCCTCGAGGTACAGGCCCTGAGACCATTTTGGCCTAACAAGTTTAGCAGGCATTTTCTTTCAGGCCACCAACCAGCTCCCAAATTATGGCACAGAGTCTTATTAGTTATGTGATTTTGGCCTAGCTTAGACTTGTTTCTTGCTAGTTCTTATAACTTAACCTATTTTCTTTATCTACATTTGCCTCGGGGGTTTATTCCTTTCTGTACGCACTTCTCTGTGTCTGCTGCTGCTGGCAACCTCACTGTCCCTCTCCTTCTCTTTGTTCTCTTTTTTCTTGTTCTCTTTCTTCTCTGTGTTCTTTCTAGATTTCTCCTCCTACTTATTCTTTCTGGCTGTCAGTCCCATCTATCTTTTCTCTGTGCTCAGCTATTGGCCATTCTGCTCTTTATTAGCCCAATCAGGAGACTTAGGCAGGCAAGGTGAAATAAATGCAACGCATCTTTACATAATTAAACACACACACACTTACATCGTTAAACAATTCAGCAGAAACAAATGTAACACACCTTTACACAGTTAAAGTAATATTCTATAGCATAAACAAATGTAACACATCTTTGCCTAGTTAAAATAAAGTTCCATAACAGCTCAGTCAAGTGATAACCTTGTCAATTCCCGACCCTGGAAAGAATGCAGGCTAACAAATTCTTGCTCTTCCTAGTAAGAGCCAGTCTACTTTACCATGTGACCCAAATGGGACCTTTGAGGTATAGTGAGGAAAACAGGAGAGAAACTGCCAGAGTGGGGAGATAGTTACAGATCACATAAAAGCCAGAGGCCAAAAGTCTATAGAGAGAGCTTTACAAGACCAAAGTGTTATCAGGCCAGGGATCCCCAGATCCTCAGGTGGGTGGGTGGGTGGGTGGTTGAGCAACTGAAAACTCTGTCCATTTGCCTTTGGAGCTGCTGTGGACCCATTGGGAGGAGGGCTCTGCCCACTCCTCAGGAGCACTTGAAGGTGGTGGATTCTGTCAACCTGAGTTCCTGTTTCAGGCACTCCCCCCCTCCATGAGACAGGGTTTTTCTATAGCTTTGGAGCCTGTCCGGGAACTAGCTCTTGTAGACCAGGCTGGCCTTGAACTCACAGAGATCTGCCTGCCTCTGCCTCCTGAGTGCTGGGATTAAAGGTGTGTACCATCACTACCCAGCTCAGGCACTATTTTGTTTTATTACATTTTATTCCTTCCTTAGGTCTAAAAGGAGCCTTCACATTTTTTCACATGTAGGAATGTATGCATTATTTGAGAACACTAGTGAAATTTCTTCACCCAGCTTGAAAAGTCAAAGCAATACATCAGCTTTTTTTTTTTTTCTCCTGAACTCTGGGATTAGGGAAATGCGCCACCTCACCTGATTTACGTTTTTATTTTCAACTTTAATGCTAGAGTTTATTTTCCTTTTTGTGTTTTTTAAATTGTTTTTCTTGAGCTTTACATTTTTCTCCACTTCCCTCCCTTCCTATCCTCTCCCTCTCTACCCTCCCCCATGATTCCCATGCTCCTAATTTGTCTTGTATTTTTCTCCTTCCTATGTAGATTCATGTATATATTTCTTAAGGTCCTCTTTGTTGTCTAAATTCTCTGGGATTTTGAAATGTAGGTTGGTTTTTCTTTGCTTAAGCCACTTATGAGTGAGTACATATGATATTTGTCTTTCTGGGTCTGGGTTACCTCACTCAATTTTTTTTTCTAGATTCATCCATTTGCCTGCAAATTTCATGATATCAGTGGGGTTTTTGTTGTTTTTTGTTTGTTTTTTACTACTGTGTAATACTTCATTATGTAAATTTACCACATTTTCTTTATCCATTCTTCAGCTGAGGGGCATCTAGGTTGTTTCCAGGTTCTGGCTATTACAAATAATACCGCTGTGAACATAGTTGAGCACATGTCCTTGTGGTATGATTGAGCATCCTTTGGGTATATACACAAAAGTGGTATTGCCGAATCTTGATGTAGATTGTTTCCTAATTTTCGGAGAAATTGCCATACTGATTTCCAAAGCAGCTACACAAGTTTGTGCTCCCACTAGCAATGGAGGAATATTGCCATTACCCAACATCCTCTCCAGCATAAGCTGTCATTAGTGTTTTTGATCTTGGCCATTCTTACAAGTATAAGATGGAATCTCAGAGTTGTTTTGATTTGCATTTCTATTTGACTAAGGATGT